AATATGAACCTAAGGCATTCATTAACTATCAAAAGCCTGCGGATATGGGTCATACTGATGCAATGTGGGCTCTTGAAACGTTGTTACCTAAACGGCATAAGCGTTACACGGGGTGAAAATAAGGTGACAATTTGCTGCCCGAACATGGAATGCCTTGATGGGACTGATAACCCTGAATACTGTGATAAGAATAGAATAAGGGCCGAAAAGAACGAACCCGAAACCCATGTGAGTCGCCTGAAAATCCCGCTCCACGAAAGCGATGACGAAGTCAAAAGTCACACCAAAAGCAAATCGAATGGAATAGGTGTTGGAAAAGACAAACCAACCGATAGTTGTGAAACTTTGGAAGTCATAAATATAGAGTGAAAGAAAAAAGTCGAATCATTTAAGACCCGTTTTAATGAAATTAAACGTGATGAAAGCCCAGTGAAACGAAAGAATAGTGCTATTGAAGAGACGTATGAAAATGATCAGGAAGTTGTTGGCGCTTGTGGAGTTTGGATGTTGAAAGTCGAAAATATCAGAGGTGTGAAGTCAGTGAAGGGACGTGGACTAGTATTACAAATCACCAAAATTTTTCCAATCGATTAGTTGAGGATTATTTTTTTAGTTGACAATTAGTTGCAACTAATCGATTAATTGTAAGTTATAACTAATCGATTAATCGATTAGTTGCTACTAATTAATCAAAGAATTAATTAATTTTTAAATCAATTGCAATTAATTCTTTAATCGATTAGTTGCAACTAATCGATTATTCGATTAATTGATTAATCGATTAAAAAGTTCAATCGGTTAGTTGTCAACTAACCAACTAATCGATTTTTTCAACTTCCGATTTGTAACACTAACGTGGACTGAGCAATAGTGATATCCAAGAAATGTGCAGTGCCTGGATGGATAAGGTTGACGAATCAAGGATCCACCAAGCTTAAAGAAACATGCTGATGAAGTCGGCGATAATATAAGAAGGGTGAAATGTAAGGATAGTGGTAACAGCCCATCGTTCAGCAACAATAAAGTGAATATTAAGGTTAAAAGGGTGCAGATGAATAAACGAAAGGTTAGAGTTGAAGTATGGAGATTTCTTACGATGATGAAGTTGCACGGTCTTATAATCGAAACCCGAAGTGCCGATAAAGATAGAATTGGTAGTTTAGTGGAACATCCATTTAAGAAAAACAATTTAGGCGATCGTGATAAAAAAAAAAAAAAAATCCCGCAATTACCCTAAGGTATCCCGTAGACGTCCTAATACTTGTCAAGACTGGATGAACGATTCGCCGGAGCTCATCTTTCCGAGGGAGGGATGATGTTATGCTCAAATTTTTATTTTTAGTTTAGTATATATTATTATATTGTTTCTATTTTTTATTTTTATGTGTTTCTTATTTGGGCTGATTTCTGTGGCGTATTTTGGGATTAAAACCCCAAACGACCTCAAGTGAGGGATTAAAACCCCAAGTGAGGGATTGAAACTCCAAACGACTGATTAAGGGTGTTCTCAAGCAACTCCCTCAATGTGATCTGATAGTGATTGAGATGATGCTCAAATTATCACAATTGATCGTAATAATGATTTCAATCATTGTTTGAGCAAACATCCTTGTTTTACTCCATTATCACTATGTCTTCAGCAAATCGTAATAATAATAAAAAAAGGTAATTATCCAACAAGCAAATGTAACTCCTTCTTTGGCAACGCCTCAACAAAACAAATGTAACTTCGGCAACTCAAAGTATCCAAAATTTTCCTTTTACCGACTTTACGAATATTCGTATGCTGTTTTACCGCTTTTTTCTCCTTTAATTCGAACAAAACCAACGCCTAAAATAATAATATTAAAAATTTTTAAAATAAATAAATAAATATAATTATTTTTTGACGTAAAAGTTAGGAAATAACAATTGTTAGCAAGTTTTGCTCTTTGAATTTCCTGGAATTTTTATTAGCGATAAGTGTTTCGAATATAAAAAGCAACGCAATAATTTTTGACGACTATAATTTCCATGACGTAAAGCAAAGTGCTTGAATAACATCTTTTTCTACACTATTAATTAACAGTTTTAGTCAATCAGCGTTAACTCTGAAAAAAAAAGATGGTTTGCACCCTCCAGACTTTTTTCGGTGAAGCGGCAACTCACTTGATCAATTTTTTCGGCCCCCGACTATTTAAAATTTTATTTCCGATCAATTGATTTAGGCGCTTGAGAACACCCTAAATCCTCAAACGACTGATTAAGCTCCAAACGAGTGATTAAAACCCCATACGAATTAAAGATATATAAAGGTATAATTTCAGGTTATGAGGAGGGAAGGAAAGGATGAATGATTATTAACGGTTATTAACAGTATTTAGTATTATTGTAATATTCCGATGTATTGATTTATATTAATAAAGAGAAACCTTAACCTGTAATTACGTGTGTTAGTTTATTGATTTAAACCATTTAATCTTAATCACTATTTGTTCATGATCGAAACTAAATCGCCTAAAGCTCTCCCACCGTGAAACCGTATAAGTAGAAGTGTCGTATGCCGTATAAGTGTTGTACGTCATTCACCTTTATTTCCCGGCCCATCCGACCAGGGTTCCGATGCATTCCGACCAGGAATTTTGGGATTGCCCTGTCCCATAATTTTTGTTGTTACGCATAAATATTTAAATACACGAATTTTTATTTGCAACGGTTCTCACACTTTTTCGCTTTTCGGCTTCTGCTGATTAGCGTTTTTAACTCTGAAGACGGACAAGTAGCTTGCTTTCATGAGTGAACGGCTGTCTTCGTGAGTTAATACAGTAGGTCGCTGGCAGCGTTATCCAAATAGCCCGTCTTATCTCTCTCTTTTGACGTACCAACAAGAGAGATATGGAAGGTGTTTAGTTTTGTTCTCCTTTTCATCTTCCGAGAACGAATTAGAGAACTTTTTTTTTTGTGCCTGTTATGACATTTTTTTTAGATACATAAGCGGGGGTTATAGTGGATAAGTGAAAGATAACTTATACTTTAGTGATCTTTTAATTCACTTCTTTGAAATGAATTAATTGTACAAAAATAATATATACAACACCAATTTTTCTGGTCACATGATAAAACGTAACTGCCATAGTCGGACAAGTATCAAAAATCACAAAATTTTCTTAACTTTTGAACAATTTTTTCAACAATTGTCCAATGGAATTCGTTTAAATGAAATTATCGAATTGACAGAAATTATTTTAAAGAATTTTCATCAAATTCCATTGAGTAGTTGTCGAGAAATTTTCATTCAAATTTAGAAAAAATTTCTGCCGCCTTGAAGAAAATGCCACGGCAAAAATTTTTCTAAACTTTAAACGAAAAGTTCCCAAAAGCTACTTGTAATAAAAAATTTTTTAAACGAATTCTAAAATTTTATAGAATTCATATAAAGAAATGTTTATCAAATTCTATCGGATAGTTGTTGAGAAATTTTCATTCAAAGCTAAAGAAAATTTCTATCGCCTTAAATAGCCATAGCAAAAATTTTTCTAAACTTTGAATGAAATTTCTCAACACCTACCCGATAGAATTCGATGAACATTTTTTAAATAAACTCTATAAAATATGAAAATTCGCTTAAAAATTCTTCATTATATTTTGGCAAGTAGTTATCAAGAAATTTTCGTTCAAAGTTAATGAAATTTTTACCATGGCTATTAAGAAGCAGACTTTTCTAAACTTTGAACGAATGTTTCTCGACAACTACTCATCAAAATTCGATGAATTTTTTTTTTTATATATAAATTCTACTATTTTATAGAATTTATTTAAAGATTTTTATCAAATTTTATCAGGTAGATGTTGAGAAATTTTCGCTTAAAGTTTTATTGCGGCTATTTTCTTCAAGACGACAGAAATCTTCCCTAACTTTGAATGAAAATTTCTAAACAACTACTCAATAAAGTCAAATGAATTCTGCCAATTCGTAATTTATTTAAAAAATTTCCTGTCGAATTTCATAGTATAGTATTTAAGAATATTTATCCAAAAGAAAATTAGTGATCTTCAGAACAGGTGAGACCGTCCCAAATTTAGGAATGATTATCTAAGTCACCCGATAGTTACACAATTGATAAATAATTTTTTTTTATACATTTTACAATAACAAGTAAGAGGTGTAATCATCACATGCTAACCAGCCAATCAAAATTGTTAATTTTAAACAAAAAATTAAGCAACAAAATCGAAGAGTAAATCAAAAGAAATTTAAACAAAATTAATATTTAAAATTTCAAAGTAAATGTCAATAAATAGTATTACTGGTAGACAAACATGTCTTTATTAATTTGGACTAATTTAAATCATATTACACATAAGTTATAATCATTGTTTTTTATAATCTTCATGTCTAATACTATATCTAATAAACTTGAATTTTTCATAGTATTACACACTATTATTCTATTGAAGAGATCTTTAATATTCATGATTTGTTTTACAGCTATATTACATATTGTATCTACATAAATCTATTACTACATTCTAAAAAAACTTTGTAAAAAAAACAAAAAAAAGGGAAGTTAATAATTGTTATTTGTACACTTCAACTTTTTTTAAAAAAAACTATATAATGTATACAATAAGAACACACAATCTAAGCTTTAAATTTATACTATTTTTCTAAACTATTATTTTAAACTTTTTTACCTTTTTTTTGCGCAACAA